CATTGGTTGGAGAACTTTACGTTCTCGACATCGTCAGTGACATCGGATCTGCACATGCTGCCACCCTGCAAACGTGGCATGAGCGCTTTGCACATGTGCATTCTCAAGGTATTGCTTCGATGATTCGTGACAATGTGGTAAGTGGAGTCAAACTACTTGGTAATGAGGCTAACAAAATCAACAATACTGACAATGATTGCATCTCTGAAAAATGTTCTGCGTGCGTCTACGGCAAAGCCACTCGATCTGTGATCCCAAAAGAGCGGTCCTCGAGGCGGGCATACTTCTGTCTAGACTTAGTTCACTCTGATGTTTGTGGCCTCTTAGAGGTGCAGTCCATTGGTGGTGCCAAGTACTTCATTACCTTCATAGATGATCACTCAAACTGGTCAGTAGTGTACCCTATGCACCATAAATCAGAAGCATTTGAACGATACAAAAGGTTTGCACAACTTGCTCAGACTTACACTGGTCGCAAGATCAAAGTGCTTCGCACCGATCGAGGTGGTGAGTATCTGTCCACGGAGTTTAACTCTTTTCTGATTGCAAATGGTACTCAGCATCAAATGACGACCGCGTACACACCGGAGCAAAATGGCGTCGCCGAACGACTGAACAGAACTTTGGAAAACTTGGTGCGCTCCATGCTCGCGCACAAGAAAGTTACAAAGGGGTTCTTGGCAGAAGCACTTGCGAATGCAGTGTACGTTCGAAATCGAGTCACGTCACGTGCCATTCCTCCCAAGATGACCCCATACCACTTATGGATGAAATCTGTGCCAAATGTTGGTCATTTGCGTGTTTTCGGTTCAAAGTGTTGGTATACATTACCAAAACACAACATCCAGAAACTTGACGCCCGTGCAAAGGAGGCAATGTTTCTGGGGTATGCTGAAAATACGAAAGCTTACAAGTTGTGGGATGGTGATTTGCACAAAGTGATCGTATCCAGAGATGTTACTTTTGACGAGTCCACGGGAGGCAAATCTGGTGAACCGATGGATACAAACGAGGAGGCTACAACTGATGATGACACAATCAACTCGAACATCGATGAGGAAGTTGCAGAAAATGATGCAGTGGCATCAGAAGCATCATCGCCGGATGAACAACAAGACTCTGATGAATCCTCCAACTCCTCCCCAACTGCAGGGGAGGACGAAACTACCGAAACAGTTGAGCAACACGTAGTTGAGGAAGAAACTATTGATCCGCCAACTAATCTCCGTCGGTCCACTCGCATTCGCAAAACGCCTGGGGCGTGGTGGGCAGCAGCTTTGGTGACTGCTGGACTCCTTAGCCACGCCCATGTGATAACGGAAATCCCAAACTCGTACAAGCAAGCTATGGATTCTCCAAAAGCTCGCTTCTGGCAGAAGGGCATCGACAAAGAACTTGCTTCACAACACAAAAACAAAACATGGACACTTGTTCCAAGATCTCAAGCATCAAACGTCCTGACGTCCAGGTGGGTTTTCGGAGTGAAGCAACTTCCTGACGAGTCCGGAAAATTGGTCGAAACTGCAAAGGGACGTCTTGTGGCACGAGGCTTTCAACAAGTAGAAGGCATCGATTACACTGAAACTTTCGCCCCTGTCATCAAGTTCACAACTATCCGTCTGCTGCTGGCACTGGTTGCGCACTTTGACCTTGAGCTGCATCAGATGGACGTGGTGACTGCCTTCCTCAACGGTGACCTTCACGAAGAAATCTACATGAAGCAACCTGAAGGATGCATCGACAAAGTCAAACCTGATTCGGTGTGTAAACTTTTGAAAGCAATCTATGGTCTTAAGCAAGCCCATCGCCAATGGCATAGTAAGATCGATGAGTTTCTGATCACTGAACTTGGTTTCAACACTACACGCAGCGACCCATGTCTTTACATTCGACGTCAAGGCAATGTCATCATGATTATCGCGTTGTACGTGGACGATCTGCTGCTAGCTGGAAGTGACTTGGAGGCCATATTATGGATGAAAAATGAACTCAACAAACGATTCGATATGAAAGACCTTGGCGAAGCGAAGACTTGTATTGGTCTAGAAATCGACCGTATACGTTCTAAACACGTCCTGACCATCACGCAGTCGAAGTATGCCCAAGCAGTACTGAAACGGTTCAAAATGTCGGCATACAATCCTTGCGTTACTTCGATGGAACAGTCTCGACATGTCACAATGCAAGTGGCCGAAACTGGCACTGATGACAACCCATGCTTTGAACCATATCGTCAGGCCATTGGATGTCTAATGTTCCTAATGGTCGGGACGCGCCCCGATATTGCGTTTGCCATTGGAAAGTTATCTCAACACTGTGCCGACCCTCACGAGTCGCACTGGTCAGGTGTAAAACGTGTTTTGAGATACTTGCGTGGGTCCCAGCATCTTGGAATAGTGTTTGGTAAAGATGATCTTGGTACGGAACTTCATGGGTATAGCGACGCAGATTGGGGTGGATGCCTTGAATCACGAAAATCAACGAGTGGGTACGTGTTCAAGCTTTGTGATGGGCCTATCAGTTGGGCTTCCCGGAAACAAACAGTAGTTGCAAAGTCTACTTGTGAGGCAGAATACATCGCACTCAGTGAAGCATGCAAAGAGGCCGCGTGGCTTCGACGCTTCCATGCCGATGTACTTGGTGCGAATTCGGATCCAACAATTCGCGTTGGATGTGACAACGCTGGTACGATTGCCTTTGCTCAGAACGAATCTACAAATCGTCGCAACAAGCACATTGATATTACGTATCATTTTGTTCGAGATGCGGTGCAGCGAAAACTGGTCACATTGTACCATTGTCCGACAACAGAAATGCCAGCCGATATGTTGACCAAACCACTTGGTCGCGTGCTGTTTAAAAAGTTCGTGGGCATGGTTGGGCTTTCCGAGTGCAAAGCTGCCCAAAGCATGTGATCGAGGGGAGGTATTGAAAATGTGCGACCACATGCTGTTATCTGAAAAGGTCAAAATCGAGTGACACGTGTACATGACTGCACGGTCCGGGCGCTCTTACCCATATCACGACATGACACGTGTAAAATCCCAGATTTTGGGGTTCCGGGGACGAAAGTGGCCTCTCGGAGGGTCATGCAAATTTGCATAGTTTTGCCAAGTGGAACCTTGGCCCGTAGCACTATAGACTACACAGGAAATACTGCAATTCTATTGGCCCTCAGGTCTAATGCTGCAAATCTATTGGTCGAGCGTTGTCCACGTGTGCGTCATTGGCCTTGTGATGTACTTTAAATGGCCTGTATATGCCATAATTACGTTGTTTGGGGGTTTCAAGTGGCTTGCCATGGTTGTAATGGGTAATTGCATGGGGCCCCCGGGCGGGATACATGTATGCCGTGTACACATGTGCACGTCGCCAGGTGGATTCGTGTACGTACGCATGTACACGCATCCAGGTGTATGCACATGAGGGTTTACAGTTTTACAGTGTCAGACTGTTTGCGATCCTGCGCGTGTCCGAGTACAGTACATGTGAATCAAAAGTACAACAAGTACTTCTCGCGAGAGGAATACAGTTGTGCGATTATTCTGTGTACGCGTCACGCTGTATGCGAGTCTTGCGTGAGCACGCGCCGTTGCACTGTGCTCTCGTCATGGTGCGCCGTTGGATGCAAGTTCATGACAGTACTCGTGTGATTTACATGTATTCTCATGTGAGTTGTGTAGAAAGTCTGGATGCACATTTTTATAACTTGCCATAATTATCTGACAGTGCTTGGCGAAATTAGTAAGGTGAGAAACAAGGATACGTATGGCGACTGTGATATGAAAGACGTTTGCGTTGTTAGAAATAGACAAGTGCCAAGTTGTTTGTTGCACAACAATGAAGTCTGGCATGACTGGATGCAGATTAGTAAGGTGTGAAACAGTTGCATGCATAGGGCCATGGTTTACAGTCATTTGGAATGTGTAGAAATAGTTGTGAGCTAATAGTTACGAATCGATTCGTAAGGTGGAAATCGAACAGTATGGTCGGGCCACAAGAGGACCGCGCTTGGTCGCGCATAGTAGAGTATGGTTTACTGGGAGTCGAAGTAGAGCGATAGTGTAGCACTCGAAGTGTATAAGTATCGCAGGAAAACGGCTTCAAAGTAAACCTCGGCACCAACTCCCTCACTCACACACATCAACCTGCCTTCCTTCTTTCCTTTGCCCCTCCGAACCTACCATTAGGCTCGAGCTGCATTTTCTCCCAAAGCGGAGAAGCGATGGGGCGTAACGGATACCGTAATTTATAACCGTGTCAATGACATGTTTATCTTATTGCATTTATGCGGATGAAGCCATAGTCGTCTTGGGCCTTTTGGAAGCGTGGCATCTCACAATAGCGACATTGAATGTCGCACAGGTGAAGACGTCAACGCGCGCCACCCTGCGCCGGCACTACAGAGTCCCGCACGACGCACCTTCGTCACGATCACCTTATCCACCCCTTCAGCTTTCCCATCAATTGTAAAGTCGTCCAACTCTAACGATCCGGCATCCAATGTGATCACGCGATAAGCCCCTGTCTGAATCATATCTGGTAGGTGTAACTCTAGCACACTCGCTCTACAAACCGCCTGCAACCCCCCGGCATGAGCCCTCTGAGCGTATGTAAATACCTGGACAAGAACGCTGCTAACCTTGGCCGGGCCAGACCTCCCTCCTCATCCCTCCTTGCAGTGTTCATAGGAGCACAACGAAGGAAGCTTTTAAGTTCAAGCAAGCCCGGGCTTAGCGTTCATGTATCCTGTGCAATACCATGAGAAGAAATACGCCTTCATTGCGAAACTCCGGTTATTTACTCCCGCATTGTTTTCTTTCTATTGTCTGTTCTACAGGGGCTCGTTCCTCCAACAAAGTGACTCGCATCCACACTCATTTTGTTACGAGATCTAGTCGGTTGCTATTTGCGTTCTAAAATTGGTGCTGATGCTACCGTATAATCTGGGCCATCTCTGCTCCTCTGAGCACAGTGTGTGCTCCCGGGGAAGCAACAGCTCATGTCGTTGGGGAAGCTCCCCCTTTCCAGGACTGGTTCTGATAATTACTTTTTCCCGTCGCAGACGGAGCTGGTGTCACTGGGGCCAATAGCTTTCCGAGCCTTTTCAGAATACAGGGGATGAAGGCTTTCATGATGTTGGGCAAAAGTGCCAGGTCGCTATCATCTACCACATTGGAAGTAAGAGAGTGAGGAACCGCTTCTCTTTTCACAATGTCCAGAAAATCCATGGTCACAGGGAGCAAATCTTCCTCTGAGATGCTCGCGGTTTTCATGCTGTTATTTGCCACGCCTATGTTGCGATCGTGGCTAAGGTAAACGAACGGATGTTGCATAAGGTCTGGAATGGACATACGATTTTGCGGGTCGCGCTGCCGGCATCCGTGGAGGACTTCAAGCGCAACAGGATCGGTTACATGACGGTATGATATTTCGTACTTTGGATTCTGAATGCAGTTCAGCTTTGAAGAGTGTCTTTGATGTGTGCGAAGGGCGCTCTTCCACACAACATTTGATACAAGATGCAACCTAAACTCCAGATATCACTTGCACGCCCCACTCGGTACCTTACTGATTGCAGATCAGTTTCTGAGTTAGTGCCGTACTCATTCCATGCTCTAGGATCTCGATTCTCGTTCACTAAGGCCTCCGGGGACTTTTAGTTGAGAGTCCCTACCTGAGCTTCCCGAAAAACTTTTGTCGTGTCGTCGCTAGTGATGGCTTTCGCAATCCTAAAATCTATTAACTTCAACTCTCCTCGGACGACCAAGAAGTTTGCTGGTTTCAAATCTCCATGAATGATTTTAGCCTCGTGAATGGTGTGCACAGCCTTGACCATTTGCAGCCAGCGACCCCTCGTGAAGTGATCCTCCATACTCCTACTCTTATTGCGGAGTAGGATTTTCGCAAAGTAAACGTTCCCGTACTCCATGACCATCTTGATGGTTCTACAATCGTACTGATCTTCCGCATCGAGGAGTTGGATGATCGATGAAAAACCTCGGAGTTTCTTGAGCAACTCCATTTCGTTTGCGTACGAAACAAGAGTTGTTCCAAAATGCGACGAAGCGGGGACCTTCACGCACTTTATGGCCAGCAATTCCATATCCTGGCTGAGAACTTTGAGAACTTTCGAGCAGCCACCCCTTCCGGCATTGCTCAAAATCAAGTACTGCCTTTTGTTCACTGTGAGCATGCTTTCATGCTTAGGTCCGTTAAACATACCCCAAAGCGAATTTTGTTGCCGCGCAGTCGTATTCTTCGAAGCGTCAACTGAGGACGATTCGAGTGACAGATGGCGAACAACAGAACCCCTCGAATGGGAAAGGTAACTTTCCCTATCAAGGCTGGAGTTCAATGGCAGGGAGTGTACGCCATTTGTAGTTGCCTCGACGTTGGTACTGCCAGTGCCATTTCTTCTTGGCTGCATTCGACGATCAAAGTTTCCTGTTCGCAGACGACTTCTAGATTCGGAAATACTGGCGAAGCCCTTGTCATGGACATCGTGCGCTTGCAACTGGCGTAACCCTCGGTATCTACCATTTTTTTGCCGAAAAATTCAAATCTTCTTGACATACTGCAGAAGCTCCTATTTTCAGACGTCTTTGCAGGACCACCGTGGAATATTACCTCATCGTCTCTCTGCGCATCCCTCTCCATAATTCCGCTTAAAGCACTTTCGAGCGCGCTAAGGCGGGAGAAGGAAGAGAAGAACGACAGGGGGAAGTGCAAGAGAGGATGGCGAGCGAACTGTTTTGAGCAGAGTGCAGGCGACTCACTTGCCACACGCTCACGCAGCGTGCCACGTATGCTATGTCCGAGTCATAATACTGATCAGGGGATATATATAATCTGAATAGACTCCCGGTAGAGATTACTACAGAAAAATCACATCCCGCAGCGCCTGTGTCGCGCGCTGGACACGGACCGCCAGCAGAGTGGGACATAAAACTTTGCGTCATAGAGAGCGCACGCCGAGGCGCCGTCATCGGCGAGCTGCACGGGTGGGTCCAGGAGACCCCGCTCGTAATTGCCCTTCATCCCGTTTTGTCGTGTGAGCCCACCATGGCGTTCTCCATTCGTTTCGTCCTTCCCTTTTTTTTCTTCCTTCTCACATTCTCGGTTGTCCAACGCCAGAAGCAGCCCTTCAAGCTTCACCAACAAACTGCACCTGACAACAGCACCCCACTCCCAGGACTAGCTGGAGGCAATGGACCGGGTGGTCTCTGCCACTGGCCCCCTCCCTTCCCAACCGCCCAGTACGTTGCCCCGCAAACTCGCCATCGCATTCATCTCTATTGCTACTGGCTCTGCCATCATCGCTATCCTCGCTCGTGTCTGGTGCTTTGTCCTGCCCCCAGAGCGCTCCAACATGTACAAGAGCCCAGCTGGCCATACTAAGACAATCCCCCTTCCTCCTGCTGTTGCCCCCCACCAGGACGACGCGGTCACTAGCGATCACACTCAACCTCTCGCTAAGGAACATATTTATCAGTACTTGCCGGAAAGAGTTTAGCGCTACTCTTGTCGTCTCGTTCCGCGCGATTTCTATTTCGCCATGTCGAACTGCAAAACTGTGGTTTGTGTTCTTGTTCAGCTGCGAGGAGAACGACTGAAGGCAACATTGTCCGGTTTCTGCCTCAGAGATACCCGTCCCCCTTCAAAACCTCCTTGGAAAGATTACTCATAGACGACGAGCGATCTACAAGCGCACCCTCATCAATAAAGGATTTCTCCCAAGCCAACCCCTTCCCCTTCTCCCCCTCCTGCTCCTCCCGACTGTGTCCCTCTCTCAAATTCACAAATGGGCTGTCATTAAAAAACCTTGCCACAACTATAGTCTCGACTCTCGCGCCCGCTCGATAGTCGAGCACGCTCTTCGGCACGAAGCGTTTCCCCAAGCAGCTTCTGACCTTGGCCATGACGTAGACGTTTGCGGCAGGAAAAATGGACCGCCCGAGCTGTCAATGTACGTGCAAGTAATGAATTAAGTTTCTGCACCGGCCACTGTGAGTTTAGAGCCATTTGATCAATTGTGCCCGCAAAGCAGTGGGAGGCGAACGGTGACTTTCGCCGATCAAGAATGCCTTTTCGAAGATGGAGCATCAGCGCGACTAATGTGTAACTTAGCAGTGGAGAGTATCAAACCTAAGTTCGTGAAACTCCGAGGCTCAAGGCCCTCAAAGCCCGCAGAGAGAACACCTTGTATTACCCGCGTAGCTCAAGCTGAAATTTCCATTAGCGTGGAAAGTCATTCCAATGAGGCCCTCACAGCAAATACTCACGCCCGCGGAAGCGCAGTTCTTGTCGGAGCTTTTTGCCAAACGAAAATTCAGGTTTGGAACAAAGGTGACACAAAGTTGCCACCTCAGTTCGTGTTGGACATTGGTGTTGTGCAAAACGATGGTCAAGGCATGTCCAGCAGACAAGCAGGGTAATTGTGGTACGGGCCACGGAAGGAGTATTTATTGACGCATTGGTATCCCGATCAGGAAGTTTTGAACACACATTTCGAGTACAAGTGCCTTCCACTGGAACATATCAGATCCGGGCGATTCTTTATGACGATGTCTTTCAGAAGCGAGGTGGGAAGAGCCCCATTTCCCGAGTCACAAGTAAACAGCAAACCTTTCTTGCAGTGCCAGCGAAGACCACACGCACTGAGTCGCATTTGTCGAAGACAGGGTCAGTAGGGATCGTCTTGGCGTCAAAGAATACTACAGCTACGCGGGGAGCCACTGTCTCAAATGTCACCAAACAACGAAACAGGCCCAAGCGGACGAGATTTAGATTTGAACCCATCGGGTTCTTTTTCTCGCAGCTCAAAGATTTCAAGCGGTTTGAAAAAAGAGGCGCCCTCAAGATCAGCACGCACAGCTGAAGGGAATAATGCACCCATCATCATTCAGCCGAAAACGGTTGATACGTACCCTACGATTTCTCCGCAGCGCCGGCCCTCTGTCTTGGTATTCTGCTCTATGTCTTTAACAGGTGCTCAAGAAACACCTGCGATCGGCCGAAACGAGGATTCTGTCTCTTCGCCGTTATAGTCTATTCCCACTCATCCAGAGTTTTCAAACGAACTAACTTCATTAACTGATCCTCAATTAATGCTTCACTGATATAAACCTTTACCGCTACCGCCACACGGCTGGGATGAGAAAGGCAATGTAGCATAAGATCTGGCCTGACAAGACAATCCTTTAATTTCGAGAATTAAGAATCTCCAACGCCAGCCTTTCCTCATCAGCAATGGATGAATCTGCTACTTGATCTTCATCACTAGAGCTCACATTACCAGAGCCCCCGTCTTCATGAACGTCACTTCCTGAATCGTCGCTATAGCCCGGGTCAATAGAGACCTGGGAATCTGCGGCAGGCCGAATAACTCCACTTAATTCACGCTGCTGCGCCCATTTGCGGGCATGAATTGATCGCACTCGCTCTCTCTCACGATCTTTGTCCTCTTCAGCATTCTGGGTCAAACGGGATGACACGGTCATTGCGTAGTCAGATATACCGTGAAGGTCTTCCTCATCTGATGAGTCCTCATTGTCGTTCTCCATGTCAGACGCTCTGACGGCCTTACCATCGTCTGTAAATAAGAGACGATTGGCACTAGGCATTGCTTTTAGCAAGTCCAGTTTTCGCCTCTTGCGTTTCCGAATCAGAATCACCTCGGAAATCTCATAAATGCTGTTACCCGCCTCGTTAACCTTTGACGAGTTAATTTTGTGATTGCATGTCATTTCCTCGCTTTTAAACAATATTTGGAATGTTCATAAACAAAACTTTTGTTGTTTCAGACAAAGTGGCGATGTACCGTTCATAGACAACATTGAGAATGTTTCTTAGGTGTAAATGTATTGCCGCCACACATACAATAGTACTGTTATTAATGCAATCTAATTACCGTCCTTGCACAATAATAGTAATGTTTTCCATGTCAAAAACATTGCTTTTGGACGACGTTTCGTAATTTCTTTAAAACTATCGTCCAAAAACAATACTTTTTATTGTGTTTCACGGTTTTGCCTCCGCAGTGTGGACTAGTTGCGGCAGATTCGTTGGAGACTGTGCGCAGGCGGATGTTTCGAGTAATATATTTGCTTATCATCGCCTCTCATATCAAGGATGTCGCGCCGAAGAACCGTTCTCCCCTGCAGAACGCCACACTGGTTCGAACGTACGTGAAGGACGATGGCGTTGTGAAGTCCGTCAATCGAGGGAAGCGTGTGGAGACTGCCACGGTGGAATTCATCTTCTGTGGTCGCGAATGTTTGCCAACATGCCGCTAAAAGTTGGTACAGATTAGATGTACATTTCCTCCTCGACGAAGGCATCTCCAACTGGCACTGCAACCGCATGCTGCGCGGGGCGATGCATCTCGTCGATACAAACATTCCGAACGTCTCCAAGGTTGGTGGGCGTCCTTCAGCGCTGGACGTTCTTTTTTTCTTGGAGAACGAGTTTGCGATGCCTGACTTCAACATAAGCCACATAAGTAACGTATCGGGCTTGCAGAAAGATGAAATAAGGGACGTCATGGTCCAGGCGGTCGGTGAATACATGCAGCACGGATTCCTCCAGAAAGCTGTGGTATAAACCCGTACTACTCTAGTATTCCTTTTCGCGCGACTCGTGTACACGCGGATCTAGATTACACAAGCAGTCCGACGGACAGTACCAAGCTCCATGTACACCAGCGAAGCTCACTTTGACAACGACACGCACACACGTAGACCTACCACCACATCTGTACACGTGTGCACCACGACCCGGCCCCACGAGTTCTAGCCGTTAGATTTCGACCGCGATCTAGTATTTATATAGTGTCGTTGGCGCTTGCGCCGGGTGGGTTTGGGGACAAGCAACCAAGGACCAAGGACGCAGTCTCGTTCTGGTTTTTGGGCAGACATTCAAATAAACCTTCCTCGTTCACGCTCTCTTGTTGTCTCTCGCTCGCGCCCTAAGACCCTCGTGGTCGCGTCGCGTGTTGCCTCCTCGCTTGCGCGCACGGTTCGCTGGCCGTGTGTTAGCCCCGCTGGGTCGAGAGCACTGCGTCGTTCGCCCGTAGATTCCGAGGTTCGCGAGCACCCCTGGGTTTTACAGTCGCCCACCATTCTCTACCACTTCCCCCGAGCTCCATGTACACGACCCCACGAACGACCCTTATTTTAGCACGTGTTCCTCGATTCGGGTCCTACTACAGAAGCTGTCTTC